GGTCCCCGCTGGTTCGCGCCCCGGGGCAGACGCGCACCGGAGCGGCAGCTGGCCCGCGGAGGGGACGGGGACGCGAGGGGCCGGGCTCCCGGGTCCCACACTCTGCCACCTCCGCTCCCCCGACGGCCGAGCCCCCGGCCTTCCCCGGGGATTCTGGAGCGGGCGCGCACACCCAGAGGCCCAGTTCACACCTCACTGCCAGGCAGTGATTTTCTGGTCGGAGGGCAGTAGGGTCGCAGGGTCGCCACTTCATTGCGGTCGGCTGGGCGGAGCCGGGACCACGCGCGCCTCCCCAAGCCCCGCACCCTCCGCGAGGGGCCTGCAGAGGCCTCATTTCTCCGCTGTGGGATGGAGCCACGGCAGGGGTCAGCGATCCAACCCCGCACGGTGTGTTCGGGTCCCGGTCTCGGGAAAGCTCGGGGCCTCGCCCCTGGCGGGACATGCCCATGCCCCTCCTCTGGGCCGCTGCAGACTTTGCATCTGCACAAAGGGAGGCGCAGTGAGCTCGGGCCGGGTCCCCACTTAACCTAAGCAGAATCCAGGGCGGTGGAAAGACCGGGCCCTGCCGGGAGGCTGAGCCTGTTCAGGTCCCATTTTTCTGTCCCTTGAGACTCTTGGGCTGAAGCCACCCCACCTCGTGCCCTACCCTTGAGAGTGTATCTCTGGGTGGGCCGTGGAATGAGGGGTCCCCTCTCCCAGTAGAGGACCCCGGAAAGTCTGAATTCCCCTGGTCCCCAGCACTCATTTTTGCATTACTTAGTTTTCATTTTTATTTGCCTGTGTCAAGTACCATAAATATTTTTTTAAACTTTTTTAAAAGATAGCATATACATACGGTACAAATTTCAAAAATGTACAGTGCGAAGTACAGTCACGGGCACAGCTGGTGTAGGTGGTTGGGGTCGTCGGGTTAGGCGGTAATGATCCCTCCATCTTCATTTCCTGATTTTCACTGTGGCCTTACAGTGGACATGCAAGAGAATGTTCTCATTTGAGAAAATAGGCAATAAAGTATTTGAAGGTCGTGGGGAGCCATTTTGACAACTTATTCTCAGATGGGTGTAGGAAAAACTGTTTGTACTGTACTTATAACTTTTTGTATGTCTGCCATTTCAAAATAAAAAAATGTACATACTTATATATGCAAAAGAAAGTCCTCCTTTATGAGAGTAAACTGCTGTTACCCGTGTGTTCATTTCTTATCTATCTTTCCAAAAATCTCTATGCAGTTCTAAACACAGGCATATACGGGTTTTTCCCCCTCCTTGCATAAACGGTAACGTCCTCCACCCACCAACCTCGTTTTGTCACCTACCAGTATATATGTGTCCAGGTTCATTCACTTCACTGGCTGCCCAGTGCCCCACGGTAAGGAGTAACACAACGAACGTCACTTGAGCCCTCCTTGGTGTCTGTTGGTGTCACATCATCCACTACATCCAAACAATGCTGCCCGAGTGTCCTCGGACCCACGTCAGCCAAGAGCTTTTCATAATCTCCGTTCTGATTATAAAATGTAAGCATGCTTATTCCAGAATTTTTTTTTTCTTTGCTGAGGAAGATTCGCCCTGAGCTAACATCTGTTGCCAATCTTTCTCTTTTTGCTTGAGGAAGATTCGCCCCTAGCTAACATCTGTGCCAATCTTCCTCTATTTTGTATGTGGGTCGCTGCCACAGCATGGCTGACGGGTGATGTAGGTCCACACCCAGGGCCCAAACTCAGGCCTGAAGCAGAGCACTCCGAATTTAGCAACTAGGTCATGGGGCCGGCCCCCCGAGAATTTTGAATAACAAATTTAAAATCACCCACAATTTCATGATCCAGATAATAATCACTGTTAGTATTTTAGTGTTTTCCTTTCTAACCTTTTTTCTATAATAGTTTGCATACACTACACATTTGGGGCAAAACTAGAGTATATATATACGTATATTTGGATATATATATTTTTTGAAATATAAATATTTCCAAATATTGTAAAATTGGAATATATATGTATACCCATATATATCTGTCAATAGCTAATATTTCCTGAGTCCCCACTAGATGTTGGTCACTGTGCTAACCATTCTTTCAATCCTTAACAGGACCCTCTGGGGTAGATCCTCTTATTATTCCTACTTTGCAAATGAGGCATCTGATGCTCAAGAAAGTTCAGTGACCTGTTCAAGGTCACACATCATGTAGATGGTAGAGCAGGGACCAGAGCCAGGTGAACGTGATCTAAAGCATTGGGAAATCATGTTTCGTTTTGTTTTTTAATATCAACTCTATTGAGGTTGTTTTTAATATCAACTTTATTTATATACATAGAATAAAATCCACCCTTTCTAGGTGCACAGTTCCAGGGATTGTGACAAATCCACACAGTTGTGTGACCAGCACCACAGTCCAGGTCCAGGACGTTTCCATCCCACCTTTCCAAGCACACTCCTCGCACCTGGCAGCCACTGATCTGCTCTCTGTCATCATATTGTAGTTTTTCCTGCTCTAAAACTTGGTATAACAGTACAGGAATGCTCTTTTGTGTCTGGCTACCTTCATTCAGCATAATGGTTTTCAGGTTCATTCATGCATTTGCATGTCGTAGTAATTCCTTCCTTTTTGTCTGAGTAGTATTGCATTGTATGAGCAAACCACAGTTTGTTTATCCACTCACCTGTTGAGAGACACTTGAGTTGTTTCCGTTGGTGATTATGGATTAGAGGTGTATGAACAAGTTGTTATGAAATGAGTCTTTAAGAAATGAGTGTGGACTAATTTCTTATTACATGATTTTATTTTCTGATATTAAACCAACCTTGCATTCCTGGGATAAATCCCACTTGGTTATGATGTATAATCATTTTTGTATGTAGCATAGATTCAGTTTCCAAATATTTTGTTCAGAATTTTTGCATCTATGTTCATGAAAGATGTTGGTCTGTAGTTTTCTTTTCTTGTGATATCGTTGCCTGACTTTTGTATCAGGGTAATATTCATCTCATAAAATAATTATGGAATTGTTCCCTCTGCCTCGATTTTTCTGGAAGAGTTTGTATAGCATTGGTATTACTTTACTATTTAATAGTATAGACTGGTTAAACTGTCTGGGCACGGGTTTTTCTGTAGGAATATTTTTAAATTACTCAATTTCTATACCAGCTATAGGTCTATTAACATTTTCTAATTCTTCTCTAGTCAGTTTAGATGATTTCTGACTTTCTAGGAATTTGTTCTTTTCATCTAAGTTGCCTAATTGGTTGGCCTAAACTTGTTTATAATATTCTTTTGTATTCTATTCTATTTTCTGTAGAGTCATGAGTGGTGTTCCCTCCTTCATTCTTGATTTTGTGTCTTTTCTCTTTTATTTCTTGGTGAGTCTAGCTAAAACTTATTAATTTTGTTGGTCTTTTCAAAAAGCCATCTTTTCGTCTCATTGATTTTCCCTATTGTTTTTTTTTTTATAATTTTATTTTATTTATTTTTTCCCCCAAAGCCCCAGTAGATAGTTGTATGTCATAGTTGCACATCCTTCTAGTTGCTGTATGTGGGACGCAGCCTCAGCATGGCCAGAGAAGCGGTGCATCGGTGCGCACCCGGGATCCGAACCCGGGCCGCCAGCAGCGGAGCGCGTGCACTTAACCACTAAGCCATGGGGCCAGCCCGTCCCTATTGTTTTTATATTTTCTATTTCATTGATTTCGACTCTGCTCTTTATTATTTTCTTCTTTCTATTCACTTTGAGTTTAATTTACTCTTCTTTTTCTAGTTCTTGAGGTGGAAACTTAGATTATTGATTTTAGGTCTTTTTTCCTTTCTAGTACACACATAAAGCTACAAATTTCCCTCTAAACACTGCTGGAGCTGCATCCTATACATTTTGTTATGTTGTATTTTTTGTTTTTATTCAACTCAAGGTACTTTCTAAATTCTCTTTTGATTTCTTCTTTGACACATGGGTTATCTAGAAGTGTGTTGTTTAATTTCCACATATTTAGAGATCTCCTAAATGTCTTTTTGTGGTTAGTTTCTAATTTAATTCCATTATTATTGGAGAACATACTTTGTATGATTTCAATTTGTGTAAAGTTATTAAGACCTATTTTATTGCCTAGCAATGGTCTACTCTGGAGAATTTTCCAAGTGTGTTTGAAAATAGTGTATATTCTGCTTTTATTAGGTGGAGTGTTAGTTACTAGGTCAAACTGGTTGATAGTGTCTATGTTTTCTATATCCTTACTCATTTCTGTCTGGTTGTTCTATCAATTACTGAAAGAGGTGTATTGAAATTTATAATTATAATTGTTAAATGGTCTATTTGTCCTTTCAATTCTGACATATATTTTGGGATCTGTTGTTAGTATACACTTTTACTTGATATATATATTTAATAGACACATATATATCTGATGTATTGACCCTTTTATCACTAAGAAATGTCCATCTTTGTCTCTAGTATAATTTCTTTTAACATCTATTGTGTCTGATATTAATTTTGTCCTGTTTACATTCTTCTGGTTACTGTTTGCATGTATATCTTTTCTCATCCCTTTACTTTCAACTTATTTGTGTCTTAGATCTCAAGTGTGTCTTCTGTAGAGACAGCTTGGATCTTGCTTTCTTATCTAGTCTGACAATGTATTAGTTATCTATTGCTTCATAACAAATTACCCCATAACTTAGCACTGTAAAATAATGAATATTTATTATATTACACAGTTACTGGAGTTAGGAATCCAGGAGTGCTTACCTAGATGGTTGTGGCTCTGATTTTTCATGAAGTTACAGTTAAACTGTCAGTGGAGTTGCAGTCATCTAAAAGAAAGTTTGGCAAACTATGGCTATGGGCCAAATCCATCCATTGTCTATTTTAGTATATGGCTCACAAGCTAAGAATGGTTTTTACATTTTCTAAATAGCTAAAAAAATAAAAAAAGGAAGAATATTTCATAACACTTAAAACTGCATGGAATTCAAATTTCAGTGTCCATAAAGTTCTGTTGGAACACAGCCACACTCTTTCATTTACGTATTGCCTAATGGCTGCCTTTGTGCTTCATCAGTGGGGTTCAGCAGTTGTGACAGAGACTGGATCACCCACAGTGCCTAACACATTTACCATGTGGCCACTATAGAAAAAGTCTACAACCCCTGTTCTAAAGGCTTGACTGAGCCTGGAGGAGCATCTTCCAAGAAGGCTCACACACACAGCCCTTGGCAGGAGTTTCCAGTTTCTCGTCACATGGACCCTTATGTAGACTGTTCCAGAAGTTACTGACTCCTACCAGAGTGATCCAGGAGTGAGAATGCAAGAGAGCAAGCCCAAGACAGAAGCTGCAGAGTCTCCCATAACCTAGTCTGAGAAGTGGCACACCATCACTTCTGCCATAGTCTCTCAGCCATGCATTACCAGCCCTGGGACAGTTTGGGAAGGGACTACACAAAGGTGTGAATATCATTGGAGGCCACTTTGGAGGCTGACTACCACCAACAATCTCTGACTTTTGATTGGAATGTTTATTTCATTCACATTTGATGTAATTATTGATATAGGTGGCTTTATGGCTGCCATTTTGCTATTTGTTTTTACTATCTGTTACTCCTTCACCTACCTTCTTTTGTGTTAAACAAACAATTTTTAGTGTACCATTTAAATTCCAACTTTATTTTTTCAATTGTGTCTTTTGCAAGTTGGTTTTTAAGTGGCCACTCTATGGATTACAATATGCAGCTTGTCATAGCCAACTTTAGGTTAATACAGATTTAATTCCAGTAAAATATGGCAGCTTTGCTCCATCATATCTCCATTTCCTACCCTCTTTTGTGCTATCATTGTATATATATATCACATCCATGTATGTTATACACTCTGCATTATAGTGTTATAATTTTCACTTTGTACAATCATATTTCTGAATAAATTAAAAGAAGAAAAATATATTTATACAATTTAAAAAATATGTATCCACATTTTATAGTTTCTGGGGCTCTTCATTTCTTTTTGTGGATTTGAGTTTCTGTTTGATGTCATTTTCTTTCAGTGTGAAGGACTTCCTTTAGTACTCCCTATAGAGCAGGTCTGCTAGCAATGAATTCAGCTTTTGTTTATCTGGGAATGTCTTTCTTTTGCCTTCAATTTTGAAATATAGTTTTACTGTATATAGAAATATTGGTTGACAATTTTATTTTTCTTTTAGCACTTTGAATAAATCATTCAAATGCCTTCTGGCCTCCATTGTTTCTACGAAAAGTTAGCTGTTTATTGTGCTGCTGTTCGCCTGTACGTGCAGACTTGTTTTTCACTTGCTGCTTTCAATGTTTTCTCTTTGTCTTTTTCTCTTCCAGCAGTTTGACTATAATGGGTCTAGACATAGATCTCTGTATTTATCCTAACTAGTTCATTGGGCTTCTTGGATCTATAAATTAATGTCTTTCATGAAATTTGGTAAGTTTTCAGCCATTATTTCTTCAAACATTTTGCATCAGCACTAGAAAACTAAACATGATCTCTCCAGCTCTTCCAGGGCCTCGACCTCTGAGAGGAGCTCTAGTCTCAGCCCCTCTCTCTGGACGCTTTCAGGCTCTGTGACTGATGTGTCTCCCCTCTGCTGTTCCTGGGATGCACCACCCTGGTCTTCAAGTGTCTGGTGAGGGAGGGGGGTGAAGAGGAGAAGGAGTCTCCCCTCCCATGTGTCCCAGAAGGAGGAAAAGAACACCTCAGACTGGAGGCTGCCCAGGTCAGCCCTCCGCCCTTCCCGACCTCCTCAGGATCCATCCTGGGTCTCAGGGCCCTCAGAACATCTTTGATTGGTGTTTGCCAAACCTGTAGAATCATCTGGAGAGTTTAATAAAAATATTGATGCCCAGGACCCACTACCGACTTACTCGGCTAGAACATATGAAATTGTTGATATTTTATCACTTTTAACCTACAAAAATGGCATTTTTATATGGTTCAACTTGATAATGGTCTGAGTTGGGGTCAGGTATCGATATTTTTTAAAAGCTCCCAGGTAATTGCAATGTACAGCCAAGTTTGAGAACTAAACTAGATGAATGAATGCAATAATAAACAGAATGAATGAATGAACAAATGAACAGACATTGACAAATGACTGAATAATGGATATGTGAACAAGTGATTGAGTGATGAAGTGTAAATAAGTGAACAAATGGTTAAATCAACCCAAGAGTAACTTGATAAAAGGATGGTTGGATGGATGGCAGATGATTAGTGGACAGACGGAAAGATGGAGAGATAAATGAATGGATGAATAGTTGGAAATGGATGGAGGAGTGGAACATGAAGAGATAAATGGATGACTGGATAGAAACAGAATGGAGAAATGGATAGATGGCTGAATAGAGGGAAAAATTATCATACGGAGGACAAATGGATGGATGGATGTGATGGAAGGCAGAGAATTGCATGGACAAATGGAGAGATGAAGAGATGAATGGATGAATGGAAGTTGGATGTAAGGATGGCTGAATGGATAGACAGATGGACTAGTAAATAAATAAATGGTTAGATGTTTGAATGGATGGATGGTCAGATGGATGGGTGAAGGGTTGGATGATGAAAGGATGGACAAAACAGCTGGATAAATGGAGAGCTAGATAGACTGGTGAGTGGATGAATGGTTGGATGTTTAGATGGATAGATGAACACAAGCTTGGATGGGTGCTTGGAGACACTGATGGATGATGAGATGGATGGGCCGAGAGATAAATGGATGGGTGGCTGGATAAAGGGTTGGATGAAAGGATGGCTGGACAAACAGATGGATAGATGAATTGATGAGTGGCTAGATGGCTGGATGTTTGCTGAATAGATGGATGGACTTTTGGTTGGATGGATGCATGGAAAGATTGATGGATGGTGAGATGGATGAGTGGAGAGGTGGATGCATGAATGGATGGAAGAACAGGCTGTACAGTGGTGAAGTGTGTGGCCTTGGGAGCCAGACCACTTCAGGATTTGAATCCCGGTTCTTCTGTTTATGGGCTGTGTGACCTTGGGCAATTTGCTTTATTTTTCTTTGTCTGTTTCCTCATCTTTTACAGAGGGATGATGATAATAGTTCCTACCTCTTGGTGTTTTTGTGAGGAATGAATGAGTTGATACACATAAAGCCCTAAGATCAGAGTCTGGAGCATACCTAGATTTATTATGATGGGAGGATGGATGGACTGATGATTGAATGGCTGAATGGGCATTGCATGGTTGAACCAAAGAAGGAAGGAACAGTGAGGGAGGTGAATGGAGTCACGAACACTCATGAGACACCCTCAGGCATTTTATTAGGGGCTTAGAAGGAATCTTACAGGATCTTTCTTTCTGCTTTCCCAAGGATTATAGCCCCAGGAATAGATCAGACCTGGACGTAGGACAACGTGACATCACCCTGGATCTCCAGCACATCCACCCTCTGGAAGTCGGGAAAGCGATGGGAGAAGTCAAAGAGGTGCTGGCCGTTGACATAAACCTTGAAGCGATCCGTGCCACAGCGAATGGACAGCTGCAAGGAGAAGGGCGGGCATGAGGCCAGGCCCAGGACAGAGGCTTTAGAGGGAAGTGGCAAAAGAGACCTCAGACTCACATCAAAAAACTGTCCAGCACCAAACGGGTTGTGGGAGATCTTCCTCTCCTCGGATCCCCAGGAGCCGTTCAGAAAGCTGTTCCGAACCACAACGCCCTCGGCCACGCGGGGGTTAATGTGCAGAGCCACATCCCCTGAAGATCCCGCCTTGAAATTGATGACAAATCTGGGGGCAAAGAGGGAGAGAGGTCAGAGGTGGCTGGGAGCCAGCACCTGGTTCTCCAAGGAAGGAGGAGACGGGGGCCTAGATTCCTGGGTCCCTAATGGAGGAAGAGGCTGAGGGCCCAGACTCCAGGGTGTGAGGGAGAAGGGGAGCTGAGGATTCCCACCTCCATCTAGATTCTGTACCTCCTGCTTGTGGGGGGTACAAAGCCCTTGATTATGATGGTTCTTCGGGGTGTAAGCCCCCCTTGCAGTCTCCTCATAAATGGCACAGGCTGTGGGAAGAGAGCATGGGGTCCCACCATCTCTCAGATCACCAGAAGCCAAATGCAGGGACAAATTCTCAGAGAGGGGAACCCACTCAACCTAGGAAATGTCCCCAACCCCCATCCCCTTCCCACTCTGACCACTCCTCCACCCTCTCCCCACCTCCCACCCCAAACACCTTCTGCCCACTCCATTTCCTACCCTCTCAGGGCTCCCCATGGATCAGGGCCCCCTACCCACCACTGGCTCCTGCTTCCCCACAAATCGCCCACCACAGGGCCCTGAACTCTCACAGGAGGCCTTACCGGGTTGAAGGCCGGGGGGCCCTCCATGGTCTGTGAAGTGAGGAAGAAGAGAGATTATTCTACAATACTGGACAAACATTTCCAGCACACCTACTACATGCAGGTGTATCTCTGGGTGCTGGATTAGCGCAACCT